CTGTCTTTGGCTGCACAGATGAGCACAGAACACTGTTTAGAGTCCCAGCCTCAGAGGAGACAAGAGAGCAGTGGATTTATTGACTTATTTACTGTATATTGCTACTGCAACACAGATCTAAAATAAATATGCGATTTATTTCCCAGCAGTTTACCTTCACAGACATAACTGACTTTTTGTAACTCGTGTGTGTTTTAAACGTAAACTTGTGTATGAATGAGAACTTAGTTAAGTACTCAACATGCTGTGACAGCCGCTTTCTGTCCTTGTGCTTCGGATGTGTGCACTCAGAAAAACGTATATCAGAAGTTTAAACTCATATGGTTTAAAACGCATTATTTCAGCGCCATAAACATGATAATCAGAACCAAAAAAAATGTTTTTAGCAGGTACGAGCTGTAAAGGCGCAGCTCTTTTCTGGAAAAGGAGACGGGGAGCAGCAGCTCATTTGCATTTAAAGAGACAGGCCCCAAAAACAGCGTGTTTCTGCTTCCACTCAAAATAGGCATTTTCAAAATGTTATAATAAATGATCTGTGGAGTATTTTGAGCTGAAACTTCACAGACACATTCTGGGGACACCAGAGACTTATATTACATATTGTAAAAAGGGGCATAATATGTCTCCTTTAAAATAACTTCTTGGCATGGTCACTTTTGGATGTGAAGCTAAATACTGTGACTGTGAATATTATGCTATCATGTTGGTATGGCTTGAGCCCACAAAGAGCTGTACAGCCACGTAAATCATTAGCCCACACAAGCTAATGGGAATGATTGTGCAGATTTGTCATTTAATGAAACGGCTAAACATTTCTCAGCTTGCAACGATTTTTACATATTAAGTCATTCAATAATTAATCTTGGCATGGGCCCATACATGATTTCCATATGATGAGCTTCCAAACCAACACACATACCGATGAGATGTGCACAAACAGCCAACAAGCAACACACCGCCATATGTGCTGATAACACACCTGAGTGAATCTTCAGACACAAGACTAATCCGGAGCATATTGCTGTTTAGGAAAAGCATGTATGTTTGTGGAATGGATACAGATTGGTGCCGTCTTTATGCCTTGCAGCTCGCTCACTGAGCCAGAATGATGCCGCATATAAAATACAGAGGCATTCAGGGTCTCAACAGAATCAGGAGAGTCTTTCGAAAACAACATGACTGCATAGAAACGCCTTTGACTTGAAAGGCTAGCAAGAGCTCTAATCAAATGCTATTGAGGCCATGAGCGCATTCAGAAAGGCTCAGCAGGTGGCAGAAATAACCACAATTTCAGATCAAGGTCCTGAGTGATCAAAAAACCATTCCCCGTGAAAAGAAAAGGTGGCGGTGATAACACAGAAGTGTTTCACTGAGCTATACTTAACCTCAGTGAAGGACTGGGAAGAATTGGTCTTTGTTATGGCGGGTTCTTTTGAAAGCGGGTGCTAAAATACCCTGTAAACCTGCACAGGCAGTAGTTTTCAGCAGCACTGCTAGGTAATTGTGTTGATGTGCCTCCGAGCTGTAAATCAAGGTCGGCCGTGATGCTTATTTTCGTAAGGCGCAGATTTCTGCCCACACACGCGGAGCTATTGTGCCGCATTTGAGAAACTCAAAGCCCTGGCAGAGGGAGGATATTTTTAGTTCTTCTACAATGTCAGGATTCTGCTGCAGTCCACATTTTTACTTGAGTGATATGTATGTGTGTATCTATGTCTGTCTGAATCTGCAGACCAGAGTCAGAAATTAGCCAGGGCTCAGGGGGGAAAAATGCCATTCAAAAGGGACAAAAATGCCCTGGATATTTAAATATAGTGGCCAAAAAAATGTCCCCAATCGAAACAGCTATTACATCAAAATCTACAGTGACAGCAGACAATATACTTTACAATCTGACATAGAGACCAGACAATTATTTTAATTACTATTATTATTAGGGATTTAAATTAGGCACTGATATTAAAATTCTTGGTTATCCAGTGAAATCTCAGACTCCTCTGGTGACGTATGCCAGACTTCTCCAATCATTTAGTTTGTTTAAACCCACCCCTTTCTTACAATCAAGCTCGCATTCAGACATGCCTCCATCCAATTAACGGCCGATGGACGGAACAAAGTCCCTGGCCTACATTTCTTTCTTTCTTCTGATAATCTGTATTATTTGGATTTATGTCACAATACGGAAGAAAACATCTGTTGCTAATTCTGTTATATTGCAACTTTAAGTATCCAACATTGACTGATTTGATAAATAAAAAAACTCAGTCAATAACCAATATAGTACCAATATATCATGCGGTGATGTTTTTATGTGGTTAGAAAAATAATATACCCACATATTAACCACTGAAAATAAATTTCAAGAGGCAAACATTGTCTGACACTGCAGCAGACGGATACCTCTATCACACTGACATCTACCTGATGGATAACATTACTCAGCAGATTTCATGCACACAGGTCTACAATTAATCACAACAGACACTTATAATGAAGAGTAAGTTGAACTTGCATCACGTCATTGCATACCTGGGTGAGAGCACAAAGCTTAATGGTGTTTGGAGGTTTTCCAATGTATGTGACAATGTGTTTTTGTCAGCTTGGACATGTTTGTCCTTACCCTAAGCTTGACGTGTGTGCGTCTGCGTAGCCACTTCTCCCTCGGACTTGAAGGTGAGAAGGGGGCGGAGTCAGAGTTGTCCATCTCTTGGGCTTTCACATAGTCACAGTGCATCACCTGTCAATCAATCACACAGACCAATCATTATTGTTATAACAAGGCTATGCAACCTCTAAGGGAGGTTAAAGGTGAAATGTGGAATTAGAAGCAGCACACAGAATTGCAATTGTTTTCCAACAGATAACAGGTTTCCTGCCTGCCCTTGGTTAAAAAACAGGTTATCCCACCTTAAATGTATGCCATTGGCTGAGACAGATGCTGGAATGTTGGACTACAAACAACTTCTAGTAGTATCTGCACATTATCCTTGGATAGAAATGATACAAAATGGACAGTAAAGTATGGGTTGTATGTGGTGTTAAATCTATGAATCAGTAGTATTGTCCTTTTTTCTTAAGGGATGAATAGTCAAGTTGTCATCATTTTCCATCCATGCGTAAATAAGAAAAGCTATTTTCCTCAAGGATGAACAACACAACATTCTTTAAAGGGGTCATATGATGCTTTTTTAAAGATCGTTATTTTGTGTATTTGGTGTAACAGAATATGTTGACATGCTTTAATGTTCAAAAAACACATTATTTTTCAAATACTGTACATTATTGTAGGTCCTATATGCAGTTGTAGATGAAACATTTTTGTTTTGAGCATTTGAGCGAGGTCAAGGAGATTGTGTTTCCTAGTTTTTCGTCTTAATCTTAAGGCTTGAGGATTTGTGATAGCTGTACTTTAGGACCTAAATCTTTGCAAAATCATGTCAAATTTTGACTTTTATAAAGGTTTTATTGTATGCAGACTGTCTTTGGAGGCCTTAACCGAATACCAGTGACATAAGTGATCATTTTTCCCATTCAAATTGATGTTACAGTCATAGCCAATCATAACATATTCGATTGTTTAATAAACCACCATGTGGATGAAGTGGCTGGACCAATAAGATTTCAGTGTGGGTGGGGCTGCCCAGTGTAATGAGGCAGAAATAGAAATCACATCATGTCTAAGAGAAGGTGTCAGTCTCACGTCAGTGCTGTTATTTAACTGAAACAGCAAATTCGCTTGTTGAAATAAAGCTGAAATGAAATAAATTATAAATATTAGATGAAAACTTGAACTTCGAAAAACTTCAACAATGAGAAATGTTGCCTTAGCAATTTACTGAAATCAAATAAGTTTAAGCTAAAGTACTAAAATTACTAAAACTAAAATAAAATAAATCTGAATAGAAACAAAAAATTATGAAAATAATAAAAACACAGAACAAAATGACTAAAATTAAAATGAAAACTGAAACATGAAAATAAAAGGTAATTAAAAATAAAAACTATAAATAGTAAAATAACAGTCACATGTCACTTGAAGTAACCATAAAAATACAGAGAAATCCCCAGTTTTTCCATACTTAACAACCCATATTTAAATCTCTGAATGATTGTACACGCTTTGGCAAGACTCCATCTTTTCACATGACATTTCGAAATGTATAAGTGGTGTGTAATGACTTGATCATGTCATAATGGTGTCTACAATAACAGCTTTCCGTTTAACAGGTCCTGAGGAACACAAAATACACAAAAGGAGAACACAAACAAATTAGACCAAATACATAAATCATGAAACCAAAAGCACAAAATTTGCACACAGATAACACCACTATCTGGCGTGTGACCCCTAAATCAAACACTGCAGCTGGAAATGTTGTCAGCTCTATTTCTCTCCTTCATGCAGGCAAAGACAATTCTGAAGGAACTGCATTCAGAAATATAGATTGGTCTATGATTTGCCTAAATTGACTACTTCCTCTCCACCTGTGCCGAGGCCGCTTCTTAAGATTGAATTTAATAAGAGGTTCCATTTTGCATTTGACACTCTAAAGTGAAGCCCGTGTACATCTGCATTGAGAACTACATTAGTGATTTGATCTTCAAAAGTCTCTGAAAGTGAAGGATATGCCACATTTATTTGTCTCTCAGCCAGAGGTACCGCTGATATGAATAAAAAATGCATATTAGAGTAAGATACAGTCCTTTGGGTGAATCGAAATTTCCAGCACAGAAGACAGAGAGGAAGGAAGGGCACGAGTTAGGAACATATTAAGAAGAGCGGACAGTGAGAAAGGGACTCTTTTGATAAAGGACAGATAGAGGTTGTGAGAACAGGGTATCTAAAATCTTTCTTTGGTGAAAGGCAAGTCCTGCAGTCTTGTCACGTAGGACTAATTTGATTTCTCTGACATGAGGAGAGCAACAGTCAGGGAGTCCGAAAGTTATTTACATTTCTTTGGTGTGACCCCTAAATCAAACACTGCAGCTGGAAATGTTGTCAGCTCTATTTCTCTCCTTCATGCAGGCAAAGACAATTCTGAAGGAACTGCATTCAGAAATATAGATTGGTCTATGATTTGCCTAAATTGACTACTTCCTCTCCACCTGTGCCGAGGCCGCTTCTTAAGAGTGAATTTAATAAGAGGTTCCATTTGCATTTGACACTCTAAAGTGAAGCCCGTGTACATCTGCATTGAGAACTACATTAGTGATTTGATCTTCAAAAGTCTCTGAAAGTGAAGGATATGCCACATTTATTTGTCTCTCAGCCAGAGGTACCGCTGATATGAATAAAAAATGCATATTAGAGTAAGATACAGTCCTTTGGGTGAATCGAAATTTCCAGCACAGAAGACAGAGAGGAAGGAAGGGCACGAGTTAGGAACATATTAAGAAGAGCGGACAGTGAGAAAGGGACTCTTTTGATAAAGGACAGATAGAGGTTGTGAGAACAGGGTATCTAAAATCTTTCTTTGGTGAAAGGCAAGTCCTGCAGTCTTGTCACGTAGGACTAATTTGATTTCTCTGACATGAGGAGAGCAACAGTCAGGGAGTCCGAAAGTTATTTACATTTCTTTGACCTTAAAGGCAGGGTATGTGATTTTTCAAAAACACTTTAGAAAACTGATTCGGGCCGAACAGCAAAACAAACTTGTAGCCAATCAGCAATAAGGGGTGTGTCTACTCGTGATGTGGAGGCACAATAAAACAAATACATAAAAAAAATACAATGGCTGTAGCAAACTCCTACGAAGTTCAGGGTGGTCTTCCACACAACTCGGGATGATTTGAGGTGTCACTGTCCCATAGCAAAATGGAAACCGATTTTGACCTTTGTTCCATGTTTAATGGGAATGGCTCTGAATGTACCTGTCGCAGAAGGAAGGCGACCACATCGGTGGATTCCCAGTAAGAAGCGTGGAACAGATGAGGAAGAGCCACTGTGGGGAATGATGTCAGAACGTCCGGACAGTACAGAGCGTAATCCAACCGCTTAGACCCCCACCAGCTACTGGAAACTATCACACACACACACACACACAAAACACAGTTTGGTTAATACACACAACTGTTCACATTTGTTTGAAATCAGTATGATTTCTTTAATGATTAAAGCATGATAAAAGCAGGTACCTGGCAAACACATAACTTTCAGTTACTACTGGGAGGACAGTGTCACCTAATTAACATTCATAAACTAGAATGACAGGGTTTATAATGTGTTTCCCCACTTTTAAGACCATTTTTATGCCCTTGTTTAAAAGAGAAAAACATACAATAGAGAATAAAGCTAAACATTATTGCACACTTGCCTCTACTGTACCATTATATATATCTCATCAGAGACAGACAGATCTTATAAGAATAAAGTAGTGTCAATAAAACTGCCATGTTTTGGACTAATAACTGCCATTATGCCCTTTCTCTGCAGCTGAAATATGATCTACTTGAACAGAGATACACTGCAGCAGCCCTTTTGGCAGCATAGAGAGCCCTTAACACGGCATTGCTTGGCTGGAGAGAAAAAAGCATCTCTAATTTTTTCATCTCTAATGGTTTGCGCAGTATGGAGTGAAGAGCAGGTCTGACAAAAGACCAAAGAGCTTTAGATAAACTTAGTAAGAGAGTTTAATTTTGTGCCCGGAGCTCACCCACCCGCTGCCCACTCACTGTTGGTGATGGTGCTGCTTAGCCTGCTCTCCCAGCAGCCCGAAAACTGGCTGTCCATGCTGGTCAAACTGGACCTGCGGACCTCTCGGCCCACCCGCCCACCTGCACTGTGCTCTGTCTGGGGAGAGGAGGAGTGCGGAGCGCCCACAGGAACCATGCTCCCGGGCAGGAATACATCAGGGTAGCTGTGGATTTCATCGACTGGAGAAAAAAACAGATCATGATGGTGACAGTTGGATATGTAGATTAGGGTTGGATCAATATCAGAATTTTGGCTTTAGTACAATATCTGCCGCCTCTGGTACTAATAAAGAATCAATACCTTAGACAGAACAAACAGCAATGGGGGACTGATGAAATGAAACTAGGGTTGTCAACAGAATCTGTCATTTAATGCCAATATTTCTTGACTTTTTGTTGTTGTAATTAACATCTTTTAAAAAGAAAGATAAAAGTAATGTTCAAGTATTGGGTTCAGTACTTAATTTGGAAAGTATCTGGGAAATGAAAACCCTACTGTTAAACCAAAGCTGCAATAATTCAACAATTCTCTACATTTTATTTTTTCATGCGATTGTCTTTTCATTAATGTCTCAACAACTTAAAAAAACTTAAATTATAATGAAATTGGACCAGCTTTGTTAAAACATCTATCTACAAAATTAATTTATACAATTTCAAGTGATAATATAAATTAATATAATTAATATACTAAATTATATTAATATAAATTAATACAATTGATATAACGTTTAATTTATATTAAATTAATAAATATATACATAGAGATTTTCTATATATACAATTTCAAGTGATAAATAACTGATATGTCATAATCTGTCTCATTTTAGGGATTTTCTTTGATTTAATGGAAAGACTGTGAATATAAATGCATATGCAATATGTGTGTTTGTGTGTGAGAAAAACAGAAAGAAAGATAACTGGTACGATTACAGACAACACCACACCATGACCCCAGAATTGCCTGTTTAAATTGAATTTATAAAACCCTCAGCCACTGCACAAGCAAAACAACAAAAGCCTCCCTTTCACTCTCAATATAACTCACCACAACGTCAAACTATGTTTGTGCAATGGCCCTAAATTCTTTCTGACAGGGATCAAGTGCTCTCCTTTCCTCCCTCTTTGAGAACACAGAATGACATGCAGGCAGAAATTCTTTAAGTGCCCACCTTGGCTAATCTGTCCCTTTATATGCCTGCTGCCTTGTGCACACATGGCCTGTTATTTCTGACAGGGGTAAATTGAATCCGTTTTCATTAGTCCAGCAGCCTGTGCAGAAAAGGGATGGTTGAATGTCTGTAACAGAAAGGAGTGTAGGATTCCAAAAAGCGAGGGGAGGACACATTATAAATCATATCAGCTTATTTTCACAAGTATGACACCATTTTAAATGCCTAGTTGCCACAGATACTCATATAGAAAGTTTTAAAAATAAACTTGACATAAATGGCCATCACTCTAATACTTTTGCAATAATATGCTTCCTAAAACACTGTAGTGAGCATTTATAAATAA